TTTTATCAGCATATGTTATAAGAAGTATCCCATTACATGAAAAATATTGTATGCTAGGGAATACCTTTCGTGACTGATCGATTGGAACCGGAGACTCGACAAGAGAGACTATACTACTAGAATCAAGTTGAGGGACGTCCATAGTGTAGTGGTGAAAAATCGTGTGTCCCCTCGAAATTATAAAGTACTTTTGACAATTTTTGTGAGTATCATAGTGTTGCTTGACGAATTTTTCATCTTTATTTAATGAATACCATGATCTGCAAACGCCTTTGAATCTGACAAGTGATTTCACCGGAAGTTGTGCGAGTATATCAAGTATGATATCATTGGGAAGAATTTGGGCAGAATTATAATTGTTTCTAGGATACTTAGGTTTTGATACAAATATTGAATCCATCGAAGTATATTTTGTCCAAATTAGCGTTATAAGCAAGTCTATTTATAAACTTATTTAAGTCCAATATTATACAAATCCTGTTTAGACATGAATACAATTTTGGTTTCCTACTTCTTATATGAATATACTAAATAGTGCACCAAAAATAGAACACAATTTTGCTGATTTTTTTTCCTTTCCCGTTATGAAAAGGATCAATTTTGCTTCTTTTTTTTCTGAATAGTTCCAAATATTCAGGAAATAGAAAACACATTAAAACTAATGAGGGAGTAATAAATTTGGGCCGAATATATATTATTAAATAAACTTACGAAAATATCAAAGTCCTAGAATACTGCTAATATTAGGTATGGAACACAACCTTCTACTTATTCGCGATGACTCAACTATGCATCCTGAATAAAGTTGAGGACGACTATATGAATCTTTTGCAATTATTCCTCTCTATTCGACCCCAACATCCTAACAAATATGAAAACTTACCATGCCACGTTTACCATATCAACAAAGACTTGTTTTGCTGACCCCTTCAAGACATAAATCTGCAGCCTTTCTTATGTGGACATCACATCCAGACCTTCAGAATATAATATCTGCTATTTTTGAAACAAGTAAAACAAATATAATAACGAAGAAGTCCTGAAAACAATTTTTTTTTTAATAAAAGAGAGCAAGTCCATATTGTTCTATAATGTTGTTGTTATGTAGATGTTATACTCCCTCCGCTTCAAAAATAGTGGTCTGGTTTGACTTGGCACGGAGTTTAAGAAATTAAAGAAGACTTTTGAATCTTGTGGTCCTAAATTAAAGTTATGTCAAATGTACAAAATTGTCCTTAATCTTGTGGTCTTAAACATGTCACGTGGAAAGCAAAAAGTAAAATGTTACCAAAAAAGGAAGGATGTCATTCTTTTTGAAACTGACTAAAAAGGAAATGAGGTCATTTTTTGTGAAACGGAGTGAGTATTAAAGAATCAAGTCTAAAAAAAATTGCTTAGTCCTATTCTTTAGAATTGTTTTTCTCTTACTATGTAAACGAACTTCAAATCTAAATTGTGTACCCATTGTCGTTTTCGATAGAGGAGCCCTGGCAAATAGTGGTTTTTTCAAAGTGCAACAAACAGAGACTATATATTGTTATCATCGTATGTTATAAGTTGTGTCCGATAGACTCTTGGCTCGGCTATGCATATCAAAATATTAAGTATGTAAAACAAGTACAGCAGCAAAGAAGTCATGCTGAAAATAATTAAGAAGAGTACAAGTAGCAACTACAAATAACATGATAACTTAAGCAAAGGAAACAACATATAATACTAAAATCGAAGAAAAATAGTGAATTATTGAATTGCCTCGTGCTTATATAGTGCTTCATCGTGATCGTGACACGGACCCTCAAAAATTTGCACTGTCCCAGAGTCGTATTCTTGCCCAAAATTCACCCAACCCGAACCATATAAATGTCGTTTCAGAAACGGTAACAATAGTCAGTCTCATGTAACAAAATTAAGTATAGTAGCAAAAACTACAAGAACAACAATAGCATACCTGAAGAGAGTAGTGTGCACGCTCGCTTACCTCTACCTTATGAAGGTATAAAAGATTGTTTCCGATAGACTATTAACACAAGTTAGCATATAAAAAAAAAAACAAGTAAAACAAATATAATAGCGAAGAAGTTATGTTGAAAAGATTTAAGGAAAAAATAAAAAGGAACAACAAAATGTACGATTATTGAAGCAAAAGAAATAACAGATAACACTAAAATCGAAGAACAAGACAGTAGGTTACAACTAACAGCACACACAGATAGAGAGGGAACAGAGGCACAAATAGTGGCTTTTCCACAACACAAAAAAACACAGAGTAAGCACATTGATGGCGATACATGTATTTCAAGTTACATACCTTGGGTACCGCCTTCTAGGTGCATCCACACAAGTTAGAACAAGTTCTCTAAATTCAGGATGGAAAATCTTCCTTACGAAATATTATTGTAACGCTACACATAAGTTAGAACAAGAGATAAATGAATAAAAGGAGTTTGATAAAAAAAACATGATAAAAAAAGACTTTGATAAAAAAGAAAAAATACTAATCTTTGCTTTCTTATTCCATGAATTTGTTTTCATCATATACAACTAATATTCATGATTTTGGTGATAAACTACCAATTTCAAACAAAGTTTTCTTCTAGACAATACAAAATAGGTCTTCTCCCTTCCATCATACATGGAAACAATAATTCATCTTGAAATTGTTCCTTTTCCAAACAAAAACGAACTATAGTAATAACGCGATCACCATTTTAATTCCGTCCTACTAGCCATCATATAAATCACACCATCTACCATAACAACACTAGTACCAAAGAACTAATAATTTGGAGGAAACGGGCCAATCGATTTCCACGTGTTACTTTTCGTTGAAAATATATCAATCTCCATGTCACCATTAACAAGTCTAGGTCCTAGTCTAAATATTTTGTAGTCGTCAATACGTGGAAAGTAGATAAAATCATAAAAACCACCACACTTATTGAGAAATGGACTAGGGATTCTTCTTGATTCTCTAGTGGTCGGATTCCACATAACAATTGTGTCATCAGAATATGTTATAAGAAGTATCCCATTAGATGAGAAATATTGAATGTCAGGGTATACCTTTAGTGACTGATCGATTGGTGGAAAATCGGGTGTCCCTTCGAAATCATAAAGTTCTTTTGACAATTTTTGTGAGTATCATAATGTTGCTTGACGAATTTTTCATCTTTAATTAACGAATACCATGATCTGCAAACGCCTTTGAACCTTATAAGTGATTTCACTGAAAGTTCCGTGAGTATATCAATTATGATATCATTGGGAATATTTTGGATGGAATTATAATTGTTTCTAGGATACTTAGGTTTTGATACTAATATTGCATTCATCGACGTATTTTGTCCAAATTAGCGTTAGCAAGTCTATCTATAAACATATTAAGTCCAATATTGTTTTCACTATACAAATCCTATTTTGACATAAACACAATTTTGGTTTCCTACTTCTTATATGAAATATACTAATATTAATAGACAAAAATAGAATTTTGATCTCCTAATTCTAAATATAGATTATACTAATATTTATAGACGAAAATATCTTAAATGTTGACCTAACTTTTATCACCAAAAGTTTTTGTCTCATGTTAGTATGGTGGACTGGATTAAAAAATAAAATTGAACCCTATGGATATAATGTTATATTTTTCTCTATAATTATTTCTAAATTATCTTGTATATTTAGTTTTTTCTTTTTATATAATTAAGTCCAATTAGTTTTTATCCTGAAATAAAGATGAGGAAACTAAGATCAAGAGACGCATATATGAAAGAAATTTTTTCTTTTTTCTTGTTATTCAATATTTACAATATCATCTTAGATAGGACTACAATAATTGTTTTCTTGTCTCAATAGAATTACAGTATTTCTTTACCTAATTATTATAGTTAATTATTAGTTGGACACCAATTTTATTTTTTCTGCCAACAACTTTCTATACCATATATAGGATATAACGTTTAAATAAAAGTTACATCAATACTTATCCAATAATCCGTTATCGTCCAGCGGTTAGGATATCTGGCTTTCACCCAGGAGACCCGGGTTCGATTCCCGGTAACGGAATTTTTTTAAATAAATTAATTATTTTTCGATCGAAAAGAAAACTTTTTTTTTTTTCAACATATCTGAAATATTAACATAATTTTTTACTTTATTTCTATTAGTTGTTTCGTGTGGTTCAGTTATAATATTATTTTATTGTAATATTGTTCTGCTACTATTTGTTGTATGGATAAAGTATTTGTCTTGCTTTGCGAAGGTTTAGGCTTGTTAATTAGTGTATGTTGTAATACTAGTCACACTCTTGTAGTTCTTGTCTTATGTTGTTGATTGTGTTTTGATTATCACAATATTTTATTGTTTTTATTGCCGTTTCTTTCTTGTAGACTTCACAATTCTTTTCTTATTAATGGTTATGCTTAATTTCTTCATTGTTTCCTTCTTATTTACTAAGGTTTGATGCACTTGAGCTGAGGTTCTTCCGACAATAGTCTCTCTACTTCCATGAAGTAGTGGTAAGGTTTGTATATACCCTACTCTCTCGGGACTTCACTTAGTGATATTTCACTAGATCAAGATATGTTGTTGTTGCTGTTACTATTTGTCGTCTCTTGTACTTCTATTATGTCTTTTTCTAGACTGTTTTTGTCTTGAGTCAAGGATCTATCAAAAACAACCTCTCTACTGCTAATATAAAAGTAAAGTCTGTGACTCAACATAGACTCTACCTTCCCTCAATTCTACTTTCTGGGACTATGTACACCGATATGTTATAGTTGTTGTTTTCACTTTATTCAATTACATACTTCCATTTGCATGTAATCTTTTTTATATTATAAACTAAAGAACTATAAAACTAAGATTACCATAGAATAGAAGTGAAAAATTACAAAGAGAAAATAACAAAATGCAAACTTAGGGTTATTTTTTCATCAAACAATATACAATCAAATAATGTTGCATGCATACCAAAAAAAGAACACAAATTAAGTTATTCAGCCAAATACCAAACCAATACTCAAAACAAAGGCCACAAACCAACCACCATTCACATTCATAATCATACCCCCATTATTATTAGTCGTCTCACCGTCATCATTGCTATCACCATCACCATCATCAGCACCGGAACTCGGCCCCATCGCGCTATTGTCGGAATTAATAGATTGTGATTTAAATAATTCGCTTGGCTGCAAAACTTTATCAATTTTGTAAACTGCTAATGGCTCCTCATCTAATAAAGTTCCAGTAATTTTTGCTGTTACAACATTTGTCTCTAATTTTACATTATCTCCATCATTTTTTATAGAAAAATCATATTTATTATTTTTACCTTTTGTTGTTGCCATAGTATTTATAAATCCATTTTTTGACCTTAACATACCTAAAGAATGATAATCTGGTATACCATGGTATAATAATAAAGAAATTTGTCCATTTTTTGTTAAATTTTTGTACTTAGGTAAAAAATTGTTAACGACTTTGTCAATCGGACAAAAAACTGTTAGACCATTTTCCATAAGATCGATAAATTGTTTCGAAATTTGGGTATTTTGTAAAAGTTTTGCGAATTCTTTGCAACCTTTTTTGGACATTAAATCGATTAAATCAACGTCTGCCGGAGCAGCCACGGGAGCTTCCGCGGCGGGGGATGTGATGATGTTGCTTAGCTGTATGACGGAGATGTTGTAAGGGATTTCTTGTATGGATTTGACGAAATTTGTTGAGAAATGACCATCGTTGTCTTCTGTGGCGAACCCTACTTTTTTACCTTTCATGTTAGTGATGTTGACATACCCTGAGGTTCCGGGAGCCTCACCTGTAGAAACGAATTCAAAATTTTAATTAAGTCACAAGTTCAAGAAATATTGTCTTATTTGAAAAAATATATATATATGAATGAAACTAGTAGTGTACTAGGGCTAATATTCATTAACTTTAGCCTCAACTTAAAAATATATAGTAGGTTCAATTAAATCTAGAGATAACAAAATCAGACGTTTTTTTAATAATTCATTCAAAGAACTCTGGTTTAATAGGTTGAGTTATGATTTGTTTGTTGACTTGACATGACATCTTGAACTCGAAATGATCTATCAAACTATTGGGTCGATACAATAAATGCAACCCAAAAATAGTAGAGATAGAAAATTATGTAAATATATAAGAACGTAATATTTAAATTTACATGTTTTCTTCAAAAGAAAAATAAAAAAGTGGGGGAGGGATCCTATTTGGTGGGTTGACTTAAGACCCATCTTGATTTAATCAATTTTGACCAAAGCAAATTTTGGATGAATGTTTAGTAGAAATTGCGCTTATTAGCCTTTTCCCGATTCAGTAATTGAAAAATAACTATTATTATGAATTTTAAATTTCACAAGTGACCTTCAGAATATTATTATGAGTTTGATCACTCGTGAAATTTAAAACTTTGTAATAATAGTTATTTTTCAAACTGAGGCTATAAAGTGGTTATTATTCCAAATGTTTATTAATTTCCTCGATTTTAACCTGTCCAAATTTGACTCGACCCATCGATATGTCATTTTGAATCTTACCTGTTGCTTGGAAAAGAGTGGCAGTTAGGGTTGTTCCCTTAGTAATCCTATGAAGTTGCTTGGAACCAAAGTAATCTGCAAAAACATGTAGAGAGAGAACATTCTTGAGAGTATAAATGGACATCTGTTTATCGAGAAGGTCGCCCATGGCTGCGTTATTCACCACACAAACGGTGATGGTTTGGCGGCGATTGATTTCGGAAGCTAAGTGAGTTAGGGTTAAATAACGGTTAAAGGTTGAGAATTCAGGGTGTTTGGCGAGTATAAGAGTGATATTGTGGGCTGAGGAGATGGTGGTGATAGCGAGAAATAGTAAGAGTAATAGAGAAATCGAGGATTTCTCCAACGAGAGCGTCATTTTTGGGCGATAGATCGATGATAAAATGTATTTGAATATGAGTGTGAAAAATATAAGATGAGATGTAGGAGTCTTTGTAAATGAGGGGTATATTTATAAATATATATAGATGATATATGGAAGGTGTATATTCCAAAATAAGTGTTGATTAGACTATCACCTTAATATTTTAAAATATTATTATTCAAAAATTATAAAATACTATAAGTAGGAATTCCTATTATATATGTCTATATGATAAGAAATACATATTTAAATATTAATTAAAATTCATATTATTTGATTTTCGAAAAGCAAAAAATAAAAAATAATGTGGAACATAGGGAGTAATTCAAAGTGCAATATTTGTCTATGAAGTAGCTAACTAGTCATTAGTCAATTGCTGTTACAAATTGAATATAAATTATAATTATTAACACGTTCTATTTATAAACTCTCATGAGTTTTCTTGACTTTACTTCTAATTATTTCCATTTTAATAAACTACGTAGTACTCATCATTAAAATGTCAAACCTCCAAATAAATTAATTAAAAATGATACAGAATTAGTTGAGACGAATATGTACCATTAGTTTTATAACGGCGAGAGAATAGTTGATCGCAATTTTAAATATGGTGAGTAAAAGTAAACAATTTTGAAAAAAATCATATATATATATATATGAATTGAGTCAAAAATAGACAAGTGGGTGAACATGATCCTTTCAGATTTCTTATGCGCAAAATAATAAAGATTTTTTGCAACAAAAAAAAAAAGACATTGAAAAATCCGCGGTAATTTAATTTCCTCTTGGTAAAGTACATTGTTAATAAGCAACAATTTAGGGGTGTTCACGATTTGGATAAAAATCAAACCAAACCGATAAAATAAATCGATTTTATTTAGATTTGGTTTGGTTTTAGATTTTAAAAAACTGATAGTATTTGGTTTGGTTATGGTTTTGTTCGAAAAAACCGAATAAATAACTGAATCGAACCAATAAATTATATACATATATTTTATTATTATACATACTTAATATATTGTTTTTATAAACAATTTTAAATATCTTAATTACGTTTTCATCAAAATTTCTTTATAATTTACTTATTGAAAGCAAAAATGCTCAAGGTGAAAACATTTATCTTATTGATTTCATGTATATGGGTGTCTATGACAATTCTTTATGGGACTCAAAATGTTATTGTCTCTTCCTTCTACACCAAAATAGTAAATTTTAAAGCTTTATTCATAGTAAATTTAGTGATAGAAAGTTCAGTATTGTCACTCATTTTAACTATTTTTCATTTTGAATGGATTGTAGTTACTTTTTTCACGTTTTGAATGAATTATTTCTTTTATTTTTGTGTATGGTTAGTAACCGAATAACCATTTTGTCTATGACAATTCTTTGTGGGACTCAAAATGTTATTGTCTCTTCCTTCTACACCAAAATAGTAAATTTTAAAGCTTTATTCATAGTAAATTTAGTGATAGAAAGTTCAGTATAGTCACTCATTTTATCTATTTTTCATTTTGAATGGATTGTAGTTACTTTTTTCACGTTTTGAATGAATTATTTCTTTTATTTTTGTGTATGGTTAGTAACCGAATAACCGTTTTGTCTATGACAATTCTTTGTGGGACTCAAAATGTTATTGTCTCTTCCTTCTACACCAAAATAGTAAATTTTAAAGCTTTATTCATAGTAAATTTAGTGATAGAAAGTTCAGTATTGTCACTCATTTTAACTATTTTTCATTTTGAATGGATTGTAGTTACTTTTTTCACGTTTTGAATGAATTATTTCTTTTCTTTTTGTGTATGGTTAATAACCGAATAACCGAACCAAACCAAACCGATAAATGTATATTATATTTGGTTTGGTTTGGTTTTGATATTTTTAAAACCGAGTAAGTTGGTTTGGCTTTAGTTTTAGCCAATAACCGATCCAAACCCACCTGTGAACACCCCTAAGCAACATATATCACCTAATGCTATATTTTTATACTAAAAAAATAAAATAATAATAATAATAATAATAATAATAATAATAATGTGGATGGTGAATAAGCCTAATCATAGTTAGATCTAATGTCATTTTCATAATTTGCATGAGAGTAGTTCTATCGTTGATATATTTATATATTTATTAAAGGCGTTAGTAAGTACTCCGTATATATCACAAATTGACAAAGTAGAAAATTATGTATATATCACAAATTGACAAAGTAGAAAATTATTTATTAATTTCAAATTGATGTTTGATATGTGAAAAAGGCTTTTCGTAGAAATTTTTTGCTTATAATATGAATATAAATAAAATTAGATTTGTCATTTTAGAATCAGTCAAAAAAGATGATTATATGAAATATTCTTATGACTTACATCAACTTTATTAACTAACTAATTTATTAATTCTCACTCATCTTTGGTTCCCTATTACGTGAATAATATTAGACGTACATGATCTCGTTGTAACGTTCGTTATAGGAGGATTTAAATTAAAGAAAATACTAATTTTGAAGGCGTTAATTTTATTCATATGATCAATATATCTACTTCTTCTTATATAACTAAGTAGGTAGACTCCAAGTGTGTTTGGTATGAAGAAATTTTTTTTCATTGAGAAATGTATTTCTTAGAAAATATTTTTCTAGATAATAAAAGATTGTTTTACTTATTTTTAGTTGTTTGGATAAGTAAACAAAGATATTAGTTATCATAAGAAGTAATATTTTTACTTATAATTTATTAGGAAAACGTTATGACTTCGTAAAGGTAAGACACTACAGTAATTTTTTTTTGTGGAAATCAATTTTATTTTTAATAACTATATATTTATTGTCGCAAAAATATTTAACGACAATTGAGTTAATATCATTATATCACGTCGTTAAAATATTTAATGACATTTATATAGAATGATGATTATGAATACCTAATATTTGCGCACCTTATATAAGAACAATGTTTTCGTGTTTTTATTTGTTTATTCAAGTTAGGTTGGTTTAGTTAGAGTAATTGGTAGAAGTATTTTTTTTAATACACCTTTTATAAGATTTACTATTATTACTTGTTAAAAAAAGTTAAACATTACTTATTCTCCTTTCACACTACCTACTAATTATATATTAATTAAAATAAAAAAACATATGAAATTTTATACTAATTAATCAAAAGTTGAAACACAAAAAATGTTCTTTACTTTTCTCAAATATCTAACTAAAAAGATGTTGGTGGAGATCACCTTAACTTATAATCTAATAATTCCGATAAGAGTCTTTCACATAACAGGTGTGAGTTCATTTTCTTCTATAAGTTTCTCTTTGGCTTAATATTTCTATATGTCAATTTACAATTTTACATTATGTCTTACTTTCATTTTAAAGTATTCGTATTAGAGTCCGATTAATTATGATTCACGCCGCCCATTTGGGGTAAAATGCTTCCTATCAACGATTTTTTTTCATACCTAAGACCTCTGACATCATCATGAAGTTTTGACAAAAAATGGACCCCACACCCAAGCTCCATTTTAGCCAAAATCCATAAGGTGGCTCAGAATGAGTCCAGAAGCCTCGGGATCCGCACAAAAGGTCCTTCTAACCCAAACTCTCGATTTTCTAAACTTTTGATCGAAATCAACCATTCAAGTTGTCACGACCCAAAAATGGACGTGATGGCACTCGTCTTATCCCACCAAGACAAGTCAGCCTAACACTCACCCATTACAATAAAATGCGGAAATTTCATAATTAACTCAAAAATACCCCCAAAATCTGGTTGTCACGTGCACAAGCCTCTAAAGTATTACAATTGAATCAAAAGAAAAATACAAGTCTCATATGACATTGTTTCTAGAGTAGAACAAGATCATAAACAGGAGTAAGAAGGATCGCTGAGAAGACAAACAACTACCTTACAAATCTCCCAGAAGCCTCGAAAAAGAAGAGAATAACAAGTACCACAAAAATTCAGGCTCATAACCTACAAAAATTTATAGAAGCAAAGGGTGAGTACCAAACCACACGGTACTCAACAAGTAAACCTCTAAACACGAGCTAAGGGGATAGAATACAAGTACTCCTTACACCCCAACCGAACATTCACAACTACAATCTGTATAAAACCAGCCCAACCTAACAGTTCAAAGTTTACAAAACACATAGCTCAACACAACACTCTAACAATTTCATATCCTCAACAACAACAATAGTTTCATATCCTCAACAACAACACTCTAACAATTGCATATCTTCAACAATAAGCCCAATATTCATCAGTCACAAGTTTCATAGAAAGGCACTCACAAGATCAGCAACATACAAGATCAAGTTCACCAATAATAAAGAAGTGCAACGCAATGAAATGCAATGTCAAGTATTGTGATGCATGTCTGACCTAATGATACACACCCGCTGTCTCTCAGTCCGGGACCCATGGGGGACATATCTGTCCATGCATCCATCGCGGCGCGCGATACGACCCTCGATAATAGTAACCATCGCGGCGCGCGATACGTCCCTCGAAATATAGTATCCGTCGCGGCGCGCGACACGTCCCTCGAATTATAGTATCCATCGCGGCGCGCGATACGTCCCTCGAAATGGTACATCCTCTTTATTTTCTTGTTCTTTCTCAATGCACATAACACTTATCAGAACCATGTCTCAGAACAATGCAAATGACATGTTCACGCAAATAATGAAGAGATGACCATTTTCATAACATTGCACAATTCACAACAAGACAATCAGGATACAACATCAACAATGATTTAACAAGCCTTTCAAACAATTCCTAACACATCACACAAACAATTGATCACATTGCCTTTTATTATCCCTTTTTCATCATTAGAATTAATCAATGTGGACAAGTCAACCCATCACCAAGCATCATTACCCTAAACACATATTACAAGGAAATACATGAATTCCATACACTTAACAAGGGTTTAGAAATCCACTTGCCTCAAATAGTCGAACAATTACTCCGAGACTTGAGTCTTTCCTTTCGTTGAACTTCCAACTCAAAGCAATCTATTCACATTAATAATCACAATAAGATTTCGAAACTAACCACACTCAAATTACTATAATTCACCCAAGTTTATAATCAAGTTCCAAAAATCTTGATGTCAACTAACATTCCAATTATTACCTCAATCACTTGGTAATTATTAACAATGATTGCAGACAAGGTCTGTTTCCCCCACATTCACGTTGCACCAACAATATCTAACCCCCCAACTTATTTAATATTACATCTACTATTTCCACTGTATCCCTAAAATCTCAACTAATTTAATAGTATAACTTTAATATGTTAATTTCAAGAATATTGCCACAGATTGGTTTCTTAACCATCACTGCTACATCATGGCGGCCATTCTTTGCATACATATGTACATGGCATAATGCATATTCAATCATTACTAATTAACCCCAACAATAAATAAATGGAACAACAAAGTTTAACAATTACTAGAACGTGAATTCTTTTGATTTCCCGTCGGCCGCCCTTAGCACTTATTTATTCAATATCATAAACAATGAAGACCCACTACTACTTATCAATTGTTTTGCACAAACCACAATAACTTACGCTTAGTAAGAATTGTATAGACCAAATTTTCAGCCGACTTAAATTTGTATCATCAGAAACAAGGATCATCTCATTTTTTTACCAGTCCATTTAGTTATGATTAGTATTCATACCCTGTACACTAATGTATACGAATAAGAAAGACTAATTAGATAGATTTTTACCTAAAGGCACTCTCGCTTCCTCCTTTGAAATTGAGCGTCGTCATAGGGTTTCTCTCTTTCTTGTTGTGACTAAAAGAAATAATCTCCCCTTTATTTACTTATGATTTTATTATTTTACATTGGTTAAGTGGTATTAATTATACTATACCACTTGGCCCATTAATCACCAACTGAAATTAATTATTTAAATTCACCCGTCAACTAAACAATCGTATTAACAAATAACCCAAAAATTTTCAAACCAACTTCTCAAATTGATCAAAACTGACTCGGGATAACTATCGAGATGAGTAAAACGGTAATTTTATAATAAAAATTCAAAACTGATTTTATGGGTCATTACATTAAAAGCTCCCAAAACACGGAAACTTACACAAAACTCAAGAAAACAACCAAGCGACCGGACTGTCGTCAGTCTCAACAATTCATAAATGACTTGGGGTCACTACAGGAAAGCTCTAAACGCTGAAAAGATCAGAAAATAGAGGAAATGGCCTGGAGGGTCATTACAATTGATTAAGGGAAGTTCAGTCTCATCCACTGCACCACATCCTTTGATGATGTTTTTGTATGTTATAAATGCCTCTAATTTTTAAAATACAAGATTACAATTCTTTTCTTTAGAATGCAATAGTAAAAACAAAACAATTGAAAATCGTTTATGAGGGAGAGAGTAGATTTTTGTCCCAAAAAAAGGTATTATGGGCCTTATCTTAGCAAAGCCCAATCCAGTTGGCAAGAGCTAGAAGTTCATTATAATTAAGAAAGTATTAATTTATTAAATTAATCTTATTAATTATGTATTATAAATTTAAATACTTATTGATTACTTATATTTTATGTAATTATTTAATGATAACAGTAATATTGGATGAAAATGATTAATCTCTTTTGATTTTCTAAGACAAACAAATAAAAAAGGGATAATCTATTTTTAGTATAAAAAAAAAAGAAAATCTATTTCTATAGTCTCAATTCACCATTGACTCAACATAAATCAATTTATCTAATATCCAAATCAGACAACGAACATCGAGTAAAAACACAAAAAAATATTTAAAAAATAGTACTACGAATTTAGCACGTTATAAATTTTACCCTTTTTATCTTGTTGATTTAGACAGAACATGTCCTATTCTTAACATTTGCCGCAAATGTCTAGCAGCAGTCAATTTCATATAATATGGAGTAATATATATATTTCTGCAACTCTTTAACTGAAAAACCTAACTGCTGCTACTATTACTAGTTTTTATTTTCATCAAAAAATAGTTTTTAAGTTAGAAATTAATTTAATATTTTAATATATACATTAAAAGATATTTGAAAGTTATAAAATATTAATATTAAGATATTAGGAAACATTATGAAAAATAATAGTACAAGTTAAAAACTTCTTATATCAATTTGGTAAAGAAATACACCTCAAAAATAAAAGATAACAAATATTTTGAGATAAATAGAGCGTAAATCTTGAAATGAGATGGTAAATTCAATAATTTTGCTAGTTTTTAAGGTGTTACAATAGTGGTTGATTGTCCCTTTGATGACATCCAATAATAAAAAAATATAGTGATAAATTCAAATTTTCAAATTTGTTATAAATTTTCGTGAATTAAGATGTACATAAATTCTATTTATATTAGTGTTTTTTACACGCAAAATTCAACTAAGTACTACATTCTATCGAACTCACAAGCATAATAACAATATATTCAGTAAATCTCAAAAGTGAGATCTAGAAAGATAGAGTATACTTGAATATTATACTCTCAAACACATAATTTTACTTGGCATGATACACAAATGTGCTCTTTAACTTGAATTCATATGATAATAATACCCTCAGACTTTAAATATGCACAAACACACTTAAACTTATATAAAGTTAAACGAGTAAATATGTGTCCACTTGACGTCTTATGTGTCCATTCACATCCTACATGACGTCCTACATACATTATACCACATAAAATGTGTGTCTACTTATTCAATTTTATATCAATCTAAGTATTTACTTATTTAAAACACATATTTTATGCCATTTAAATTTGCCACTAACTTAGAGGTGACATTTGAGGTCTTGTGGTGGCAATTGTCAAAAGCATAGTAGTCTAGTATACTAGTTAAAAGAAAAAAAAAACATAAATAGCATCTCATTCACTGTCCCATTATATTCACATATTTCAAGTGCCTTTCATTGAAGGTTATAATATATCATCATGTACATAGTACTATTACTACTTTTTTTCTCCATTAAAAATCATCAACAATATCCTTTTCTCCACAAAAGTACTACACATGTAACCCATTACTACCAATACTCCCAACTTCAAAAGAAAAAAAGAAGCTAAAGCATTACCTTAAACTTCACATGTCAATGTGCTTCAAAAATATAAATTATATATATATATATAAAAAAAAAAGGACCTAAGTAAAGTAATAGAACTAGCTATCAACACAATGATACATCATATGATTAATTTTGATTAAATTTTTCCAAATTTATCATCACCTTCTTGTAACACCTTGCTTGGCTTTGTAATCAAATCGCAAAGTCAGAATTTAAAGTTTATAATATATTTCCACCATCACAATCATCGTTACTTTGGCGTGTCATTGAGTCAGAATTTAAAGTTCATAATATTCTATTCTGAAGCCTCCACCACCACAATTATCATATACTTTTGACCCGCCATCGAGTCAGAATTTAAAATTTATAATATTCTGAAACTTCCTCTACCACCACAACTCCCACCTACTTTGGCTCGGTATCGAGTCAGAATTTGAAGTTTATATATTTTATCTCCGCCCTTGACCGGAACCTCCACCACCGGAACCCCCACCCCCACCCATATGATTATATGGCCCATGACTACCATACATTTGATGACCACCTTGAGGATGATACATCATTGAACCACCCATACCACCATACATACCACCACCACCACCACCGTTATACCCACCCCCAGAACTAACTCCACCACCACCTCCGGCCATGTCTCCACCACCCCCATCTTTCTCCCCTGTACGACCCATAGTAGTTTTTTCCCCTTCCATTTCTCTATACTTGGCCAAGTAAATCTTCAATGGCTCAACATACTCTTCGAATCCTAAAGTCGTCATAGCCCAAAGCAAATCATCACCGTTAATCGTCTTCCTCTTCTCTCTCTGACACTTATCCGATGCTTCTCCGGTAATGAAACTGATAAACTCCGATACACACTCTTGAACTGTTTCCTTAGCATCCTTTGAAATTTTCGCGTTCGCCGGTAAAGCTTTCTTCATTATTCTGCTCACGTTAGCTATCGGAAGGAACCTGTCTTGCTCCCTTGTTGATCCTTCACTGTTCGCGTTGTTGTGACCTCCTGATTCGTTGTCTGAATCAGCCATCGCCAATCCCCAATTTCTCAAAATTCAAAAAGGGTACTCGAGAAAAACACCTTTTCCTGCTAAAACAACAAAAACGAAAAAAAACCCTTTATCTCCGGGGAGTTGGAGATGATGTTTTCAGCCGGAAATTTTAACTGGGTTTGGATTTTCCGGCGAGAAAAATCTAAATTGTATACAAACAGATGGAATAAAAACAGAAAAACAAAAATGAGGAGAAACGCTCGCCGGAGATTTTTCGCCGGGAAATATTTCCGGCCGGGGAGAGAGAGATGAGGGAGAAAAGAGCAAGAGAAAATGCAGGATCCGTTGGATCGTGGGGTATAATATTCAATCGGGTACGACACGTGTCGAATTTAAAACCGTTCATTTGGTGATAAGGGTTAGATAATGTGGGTGAATCTGAACCGCACAATGAAAGGTGGGGGAGAGTTATCTTGACGGTTCAAAAAAGGAGTCACGTGGTGGGTGTGAAAAAAATAAAATTCGATAGACTATGTGGGGAAGTTATGTTATTTCACTAAAAGATTTTTATATTTACGATTAGTAACTTTTTTTAGGTTGATTAATTATCGATTAGGGAGAAGTGATTAGATAAGAATTTATGCTATCGAGGAAATGACTTTAGATAAAATAGTGTAGAGAATGTGTGCATATTAAGTTAGTAGGTTTGTTGGTGTTTGTCGTTGTACTAGTCATAGGGCTGACAAGGGGGCCAGATCGACTCGCCCCGGCCCGCGATCGGCTCAAGACCCGTCTCGCCAGACTCTATCCCGTATGATTCGTTGGTTGGAGGGACTTCGGGATAGGGGACCGATTAGGGGCCGGTTCACCCTTTGGTCCCCGTCGACCCGGCCCGATCCCGATCCCGACCCGACTGAATCGGCCGGTTTCGCGGGATCCCTATTATTATTATTTTTAATTGTATCCGTTGGGGCAATGGCTAGTGGGCTCCCCCCCCCCCCCCCCCCCCGCCCCCCACCAACAGATTTATTCACCTTTTTCACTTCCCCAACACCCCTACCACCCCCTACTTTTAATACTATAATTTAATCCCTCAAGTTATCATAAATACACTTAAACCCATTTTTAATATTATAAATACCCCTCTATCCCTTATTATTTCTTACAAAATCATCTATTCTCTCATCTATTTTCTATATCCTCTCAATCTTAATTCTTAATTTTTTATTTCATTTAAGTCTCATATTATATCATAATACATATATTTCAATTCTAAATTTTCATATTATATCATAATATATATAATTCTCATACTTGCTTTCAAGTATTGGAGTTCCAAATTACAAGTTACAACAAACTACAAGCTTTAAGAATCGGTTATAACGTCTGCTATTAACGCAGACGTTTGGTACATTCGTTTCATAATATTTATATTTTATTTTTCGTCATTAATTTTTGTGTTATTATTATTTTTATATTACACTTTACATATAATTAAATATGAGTTCTAGCAAGAAAGATATCAGTAAAGGAAAATAGAAAGAACCAAGTGGCATTATTTAATTTTAATAAAAAAAGTAGTAAGGAAAAAAATAAGAGTAAATGTGGTGGTACTTCTTCTAAATCAATGTCTAGAGTTAGATTTAATACAAATGATTCTACTTATGTGATACTTCTTATGATATTGATTCAAATGTTCAACTCGATCATGAAATTTTAGAACGACGTTATGGTAATATTAATCCTAATCTTGATGAAATTCAGGTGAAGAAGTAGAAGTTGATTCGGGAGAAGATGAATTAGAATATACACCTGCTAGTCCGGTGACAGAAGTTTCAAATGAAACTACAAATTCAACGGAGCAAAATTGTAGACGCTCACCCCATATACCTCCTACAAGGGAAAAGGTAAAGTATCAACGCCCTAAAACTTCCATTATGTGACAATTTATGACTTTCGATAAGGAAAACTCTATTGTTATTTGTAATAAGTGTAAGCAACCTTTTAAACATAAACAATGTGGAGGTCAAGGTGGGACAGGGGGCTTAAATAGACATTTGTTATCTTGTGTGTTGATTCAATATAAAGAAGCTAATGCATTAGCCGATAAAAAAAAGGACTTCCAGTTAATGATGTTGATATTAATGTTAATGAATCGGTAAGGGCTTCTAACATGGTTCAAGGAACATTAGATCCTTCTAACCCCAGTGGTCCACTAACACAACGTAAATATAATAAGGAAAGAGATCGCAAAAATTTAGCTAAAATGGTTTATGTTTGTGGTTTGCCTTATAGTTTTCCTTCACATCCCGATTTTATTGAATATATTCAACAAACTTATAATCCTTCTTTTAAAGGTTTTCAAGAAATATTGTTAAAGCTGATGTTTTTTTTATATCAAGGTAAACATTGTCAATATCTTCGTTGTTTTTTTAGCAAATTAGATTGTAGAGTGTCTATAACTTCGGACATGGGTCGTAATGTTAATGGACATGATTATTTAACTATTACAACACATTGGATTGATCATAACTGAAATTTGCAAAAAAGAATCTTAAGTTATGAAGAATGTGTAGAGAAAAAAACTGGTGCATATTTAGCTTCAAATATTTTGAGTGTTTTAGATTATTATATGCTTATAGATAAAGTAATGTCTGTCGCATTAGATAATGCATCTAATAATACAAATGTTGCTAGTATGTTAAAAACTAGATTATGTCCAATTGATGTTAATTCTTTTCATGTTAGATGTATTGCACATGTATTAAATTTAGTTGTACACGATGATATTTCATTATTTGATTGTGGTTGTATGAAAATTGAATATGTTGTTGCCTGAATTTTTTATGCTCATAGAGCTGCTAGAATTAGGGAATTTAATGAGCGTTGTGTACTATGTGATTTGCCACCAAGAAAAATTTCAAGACATATTAAAACAAGGTGGAATTCTTTTTACGAAATGCTTTCAGTTGCTTAGGAATATAAAGGACCCATACAAATGGTGTTTAATGCTCATAATGCTAACCAATTAGATAGAATTTGTGAAGAAGATTGAGAAGAAACTAATGAACTATTAGAATTTTTAAGACTTTTTTATGATGCTACAACCATGTTTTTTGAAATTTATTATCCTACCATTTCATCAGTATTAATAAGTATTTGTGCTATTACAATTCAATTTTCTAAATACAAAAAAAATAAAAAATTTAGAGTTGCAATTGAAGGTATGATTGAAAAAATTTAATTTTGTTTTTCCTATTCATCAAATTTATTTAACTACTATTTTACTTAACCCTCAATATAAATTACGAGGTGTGCAGAGACTTGTTGAAACTTTTTATGATACTTTAGAAATTTTACCGGAAGAAATTCCAACTTGTAAAATGTGTAAGTCTAGCATAAAAGTAGAAGCAAAAATTTTGTATGAAAAATATAAAACTATAGGAAATACTCAAGGAGAAGTTGGTCAAACTTTCTAATCCTCAGAGTAAAGATCGAATTAATAGTTTTATGCGGGGTTTTCTTGGTCTTAATTCTACTAACCGTAATGATTTTGAAGAATATCTTAATCAATCTATAGAAACATTGGACGACGACGATGGCAATGTAGAAATATTAGCCTTTTTGTGTTCTTTCTGAATGGAGCTACGCGATGGTGGAGGAGGCGGAGCGTTGCATTTCCAATTTTGAACAAAATGGTTCGTGATGTTCTAGCTATTCAAGCTTCATCAGTTGCATCGAAGGCTACTTTTTGTGCGGCAAGGTTTCAACTTGGCGATCATAGACATTCATTGGCGGAAGAAAGTTTGGAAATATCAGTTTTATTTAGAGACTGGGTCAACGCCGAGAGGAGGATTGGAATTATAATTTGCCAAAGTTAAGTTCCAAACAAGAAGCTTGGATTAATGCGATAATTGGATCTAGTGATGATGAATTAGAGTCACAAGAGTTTCTAGCAAATTTGCCAACACCGGAGGATGTTACCGTCCATATGATACGACAATTAGAATTGAATTTTAAAGGAGAATACAAATATTAGATTACATCCGAGAACTAATTCAAACAGAACCCTTCCTAGAAGGTGGCTGCGTAAATTAGTTACTCCTCTAATATTTGTAACAAATATTAGTTTTACATATGATAACTTATTGAAACAGAACCCTTCCTAGAAGGTGGCTGGGTAGATTAGTTACTCCCCTAATTTTTATAAATTGTAACTTCTAAGTTCTAAATTGCAATTAGATTTTATTGAATAAATTTGAAGGTTTTATTCAAATCTTTTTTATATAACTATTGTCTTGCATTTTAATTTTAATATATACATACATAAATACACATATACTACACTAACTTTAAAATACTTAATTTAAAAATTGAAATTTGACATTTGAAATTTCAAGTTTAAATTACTTTAGAATATTTAAAATACAAATTTGAACTTCTCAAATTTGAAACTTGAAACTTGAAACTTGAAACTTGAAACTTGAAACTTGAAACTTGAAACGTGAAACTTGAAATTTGAAATTTGAAATTTGAAAACTTAAGCATTTTTTATTAGCTAAAAATGTTATTGAAAACCAAATAAACTAAAAATGTTATTCAATAACATATAATTTCAATACAAATAAATAAACATATAAAAAAAAATCCCACGTCCCGTCCCGCCAAATTCTGTCCCATACCGTATATATAGTGGGACGGGATGGGACGTATTTTTGTCCCGCCAATCCCGGTCCCCCCAATCCCGGTCCCGGCAGAATCCCGGTCAAGGCATCCCCCGTCCCCCTTCGTCCCGTCCCCGTCCCCTTGCCAGCCCTAACTAGTCATATAGTATTGTAGTTTTTGATTTTGATATCTATCATCTTCTATTGTTTATTGTGTTGTAGGTTTTACATTATTTCTTTTGTTAGTTACTATGTTTTCTTTTTCTTTATACTTGAATTTATTGCACCTGAGACTAAGGTCTCTTGAAAATAGTCTCTCCATTTTCTTGAGGTGTTGTTAAGGTCTGAATACGTTACCCTCCTTAAATAAGATTTATGAGATTTCATTGAATATGTTGTTATTGTTATTGTTGATATTTAACTAAGCATATTTAATTCTTAATTATATGGAATGCATATTTTTGATCTCTTAGCTTGTGAATACTCATAAATTTTAAAAAATGCTAAATTGTTTTATTATTTTACTACTCTTGTGTTACTCTCTGTAACAATTTATGTGACACATTTCGCTTTTTGAGAGTCAAACAGTTTAAGTTTGATCGAGAATTTGCTCATAAAATCTTCAAATTTTTTAAAAATAAATTTATATATTTGTAAACTACATAAAAAGTACTATAAGTCTCAATAATTGATAATTCAAAAATATTCAAAAGATATAGGAAAAATTTATAGTAAAAAATAGACTTATTTGAATCTCGAAATTCGAAATGTGTCACATAAATTGAGGCAGAGAAAGTACTATTATTCTATCTTTTAGGATACCATACTTGTAAAAGAATAGTTCATCTATAACATAGAGTTTATAGCATTTTGATCCCTTTGTGATTTAATTTTTTTAATTTATCCCCTAATATTGATCTAAGTACATCAAATATTTAATTAATTGAATTGTGAATTTTTTTATTTCTTTGCTTGTACAATTATCCATACTCAACGATAATAATTAAAATTTTATATATAGTCAAGTATAACATATTTTTAACAAGAAAAGATACAAACACGCACATTTTGATTAAAGGTTAGTATAGTATGACTCGATAGAAAATAATTTCCCTTTTAATGAATCGTACTTTGTGTGAATCCGAATTTGTCTCACCCGAATACTAAGCTAGCGTTTGGCCTTAGATTTCCAAATATTCTTGGCAAATATTATTTGGGTGAAAATTTGGGTGAAATTTCACCATGTGTTTGGCCATAGTATTTGCAAAATATATTTCACTTTTTAGAAAAATATGATTTATATCCATAAGTTTTAAAAACTATCAAAACTAACCATAAGTTTGTATTACAAGTCAATTGGATCTTCGTTGCAACAAATAACAAGTAGTTTCCATGCCACTAGAGCAATGTGGTAGTTTGGAGTGAGTGTAACAAGCATCATTTCATACATCGTGAAGTAGACAAAGCACATGACTTTGTTACCTTGAGCCGATTGTTCATCATTTTCATCAACAACCATATCATCACTTTCATATTTACTGAATATTTCATCACTACTTTGGTGCTCACGTAAAAAAATATGTAATACAACGCAAACAACTACTATAGAGGATGTTTTTGTAAAAGATAAAAGTTTGGTGTAAAATTTCAATTTTCAAAAGATCCCAAATAATGAGATTTGGCCCAAATACTAGAAAAAACTAGTATTTGGGAATTTGGGATATTTGCCAAATAATGACAAATTGTATGGACAAACACTATTTGCCAAATTTTTCCCCAAATATTATTTGGGAAATCTATGGCCAAATGGGCCCTAAAAAAAATTCTACTTTCCTTTTTCTTTTTTAATTTAATAAAGCAAAAAAGGAAACATATCCTTCATCAAAAAATAAATGATATATATATGTATATTATGCAATTCTACCCAATGGTCAACATGTAGGGTGATCGAACAGATCGACTCATCTATAATTCATCTTTAAGAACAAGATGTACTCCTAACGTAAATTCTGCAAACTTGATTTAATTAAAACAAAAATTAGTTATGAATAACTTTTGTTGTCAAACAACAAAATTCGTTACTAATTCTATTTATGACAAATTAATAACAAAATTTATTTTTAGGTTATATTCATTGGGGATGGGAAAGTGATATTTAACGTAAATATCAAACTAGGATATTATCATCATATGTTGTGATAGAATGATTAATACTTTTGTATCCTTAACTAGCAATTTTCAGGTTTAAGTTTTGAATATGAAATCCTTTTTGATATAAAATACTTTACCCCTAAAATGTGACTTTTTGATACAAATTCTAATTAATCGATTTTCAAAACAGATATCAAAAGATCGAATAGAAAACCCCAAAAACAAATAATCAAACTAGAATATGTATGCAAGAGCCGCCCCATGTTATTGATTGTGAGAGGTGTGACCCATTAGTTGATTGATCACTACTTATAAATAAAAACATTGACCCAAGATGCATTATATATATGGGGACAACCAAAAAAGTTTTCCTTTGGATAAGACACCAATCTCTCCATTGGGAACTTTCCTAATTTTCCCTAGTGAATCTTTCAACAAAGATATTTTAATTGTTATTTTTTGGAGTAGAAATGAGGGACTATGCATGTCAAGGATCGTATCGAAGACATAATTAAGTATATAACAAAATGTTCTTTAATAACACAAACTTTTAAGTGAGACAATCGTCAAATACTATAACTTGACGAATTTTCGGTTTTGGTAGTAATTTTATTTGATCATTTGGAATCACCTTTGTGTTGTTGCTTTTTTTTTTTTTTTTTTAAAGAAAGGCATTTAGTAAAATGCAATTGGATTTATAAATTAAGAAAGAGTACTGAAAGGTGTTGATACCCTAAATTATTTAGGGAACATACATAAGTTATATTCTAAAGTTTGTTCAAAAAAGTTACTTACACATTTTAACTTTACGTACACATCTAGTTCCACTTCAAATAAAAAGAAAAGGGAATTAACTATTAAGTTATTTCTATAAAATTAATTAAAGTATGCAATGACAATTTTAAATGTATTTTCCCAATTATTTACCACCAACCACTTTCTCATATTGAAAGGGAAAAAAAAGAGTGTCCAAAATAAAAATATAACAAGAAATTAAAAGAAGATGAAACTCTAAAGTTTAACAAAAGAAAATACTTTTGACACCTTCACCTAAAATAATTATATTTGGAAGTCAATATCAATTCTTTCTCATGTGGAAGTGTATGAAACTATATATGAAGAGACTTATAAAGACTCTTACAAATCTTTTTTCACTTTAATTTTCTAGTCAATATGTCTCCCCTAAAGTTGGTTTCTATAAGGCCCTACCACTAAAAATATCGCCATGTTCATGATTTTTCTTCAACCAATTAAGCATTTGTCACTATTTTTATGTGATATTAATTTTATTAATTTGTTTCTTAAAAAAAGACATATTTTATATGTACAAATAATTTAATTTAAATTTGATATTTATAATAAGATATTTCTATAGTCACATAAAGTACTACTATTATTAATTCTCTCTAAAAAATTTTCTTTCTTAAATTTCATGACAATATGAATTAGAATAAACTGAGTTATTTACTTGGATAAATAATAAAGTGACATGAACCATAAATATTTTGCATAGCTGATTCTAACTAATTTGAGATTAAGACGTAATTGTTATAGTTATCGTAAGCTGACACCAATTATCTGTCTTGATTGTTTTATTTTAAAAAAAATTATTGGAAACGGTCCAATTTAAATTCCCTGTTCTTTTTGTCTTCTCGCTCAGATACAGCTGAAAATAGTAGCAAACAGTTCTACGTAACACCAAATTAAACCAAGTGGAAAATTTATTAAAAGTAATTTCCATACCACATGAATATGTATCGTGGTGCAATAGTGAGACTGTTTTATCCTTTACAGAGATTTTGAATTCGAATTTTAAATATGGAGAAAATCTTGTAGAGAACATCACCCCCAAATGAACCTTGTAATTCATAATTTGAATTTAATCGAATCTTGAATGCGGACTCCAAGCACATATAATTTCCATGTTTTGATTACAATATATAATTACTTTTGGAACACTATATATGGCTACCTTAGATTATGGACAAGAGATGATTTTTTTTTCTTCTTCCACTAATATGTATAATTATGCTTTTATATTGCACAAATTATTAAAATGTTCACCAATAATATAGTTCTTTGCATGTGCATATTAATTATTTATATTAGATAGAAAAAAAGTGCACGAAAGGTTGGTAATTTGAGTTGCCATGATTAAAAACGTTAATTAATGTTAATCATGATTATTCCTTCTCAATTTTCATTATTAAGGATTCTAACCACCTAAATTCTAGGCCCATAAGGCTATATTCCAACTTTATAACTCTAAAATTTATTAGAACACTATAACCACCTTGAGGTTACGAGTGTCAAATGAGCGGGTCAATCCATTTCAACTCGGTAAAAGATCGGCCTCGCGCAATTAGAGGTAGGGCAGGGCTGAGTTGTGGGTGGGAAGGAGGTTGTGTCGAACTTAATATTTTTCTTGGGAAATCGGGATAGATGTTCGTTTAATTAGAAAATCATAGGGGGACTGGGCCGGGCCTTGCTTGGAATCAAGACTGACTTGCATTTAGTGGGTTGGATTTGTCTAGCCCGACCCACTAGACACGTGGTCTAACTTTAAGTATAAGTTGGATTCCAATACGAATACCACCAAATAAACACATTTATACTTTCTATACATTTCTACACGTAGGAGTATAATTGTTAAATCCATTTTAGAGTTATAGACGTTTGTTTTTTCCCCTTCACTAAGAAAGCATCCAAACTAGAGGAACCATGGAGTTGGGGAAATTAAGCAAGAGTTAAGACCAACCATATACTAAGACCCTAAGAAATTTTTTATCTTGGTTTAGTGCTTTACCTAATTAAAGATACAAAATTAGGGGCAAAATTATTTGGATTAATGGAATATAATATGTAACCTATTTTTCAAGAAGTAGTAATCTTCTTGTTTTTGTAGTGACCCACTACCTTGTCATATAGTAGTCAACATATACTTGTTTGATATTCGTATTGAAATTCGATTAAATTCGAATTCACATATTATAAGATTTATTTTTAAGGATAGTACTTCCAACATAATATTTTCTTTTTTCAAGAGCTCAAACTCAAAATCTCTACTTAGAATGAAGAAATTTCAATCATTTCGCCGCTACCACATTTTGGGACATGACCTTATGGCACAAGATCACATCATAGCCCCATCACTATTTTATTTCTATTTAATAGCAAATGTACGTGTCTCACCAAGGACAACAAATGCAAATCTAGCTAATTAACCTTCGAGATATCAAAAAAAAAAAAAAAAACCTTCTGCATATTGCAATATCTTTTTTAGTTTGTCCAAATAAAATATCTGCTCTAAATCGCAAAGTTAAGAGGTATATCAATTTTTTTAAACTTTTTTTTATGAAATGATATATAGTCATAGCATCAACTATGTTCACAGAATCAATTTAACGTTGATCTTCTTATTTTATTAATAATGAGATGATTTATGGCAATATAATAAATATATTTATGTTCATGTTATAATTGATCTTACGTACTTATTACTATGGATGATAAATAATTACCTCTAATTCTATTCTAGGTGACCAGATAAAGTGATAGTATACATACTTTTTTATCATATTATAATGCAGAGAAAACTTAAACTCATAAATAATAACCCCAGTTGTGTTTTCATGTTAAACATAATTTTAATTTTCAAATATCTTTATTTCAATTAAATTTTAAAATTTTTTTTCAAATATCAACTAATTTATGTAGAAACACTCGATAAATAATGCTATAGAGATATTTTATGAACTTAATAAGTTCGATTTATTAGAATAAATGACCTAGATAGCTTAAGATTGGTAAGATGTGACTCAAGATTCACTAAAATTTCATTATATATTTGGAATAATAGATAAGGCTAAAGGGCATCAAAAAGAAGGATTGGGACAGAAAGTAAAGCAACTTGAATAATCTTATTTATTCATCAAACCTCCTCTAAAATATTAAAGACTTCATCAACATTTGAAATACAATGTAGTCTTAAAGACTTGGAGAGTTTTGGTTGTGGGGGAGAATTTTGTGAACCTCCTTGTATTCCGAGTGAATTGGTTGAGGTTATTTCTCTCTATATATATTTTGTACTCTCATTGCTCATCTCCTTTGTGGACGATGTAGGTCGATTGACCGAACCATATTAAATCTGTCTCTTTTAGTGTGTTTCTCGTTTGTCTTCTTACTCGTGGTCTCTCGAGGTTTGCTTTGCTAGCTTCCGCATTACACCTGTCGAGACATATGTAACTCCAGGATAAGCCTATCACAATGTTTGTTATCATTTCCAAATTGAGTCAGCCAATGCATCTTCCCGTTTAACATCAATCACCTATAGCTTAGCTGGAAGAATTAGTTATAACTAACTTGATTCCCTTTACTAACTACTTTAACATGTCAGCTAATCTAACTAACTAATTTGCCACATCAGCAGTTAATCTCTAACTAATAGTTGTATCTTCAATATGATAACGATCACCTTGTACTCATTGGTAGTAGGACTAAAACCAAATCCATGGCCCCAAAATTCTACTGATTGAGACTACATCGATCCCCTTGGGAACATTGTAAAAGAATTGTACACATAAAGTACTATGTCATAATAAAAAGAATCACTCATGCACAATGGTCCATGACATGAACCAATAAACTCAAATTCTACTATTCTTTCAAAAGGGGTGTTGACTTCCCTCACAACATCTTCCACACCATGATCAGAGAATTCAAGAAAGCAAAACTGATCATTAGCGCAAAAAATAATGCAAGGATCGGTCTTTACTGCACGAGACAGGTGCAAATTCACAAGGTTAGGATCACCACACAAGTTGTGTGCGAACAAAGTAAAGATCGATGTTATGGGAAGCAATGAGTTCATAACTTCACATTTGTCCTAACTGTCTTTTAGTTTTTCAAGAGCCATGTTTTAGGAACTTGTAATTTATTTAGTGTTTAAGTACAGATGTTATGGGAAGCCTGGATGCAATGTCAATGACAATTTCTTGAGGCAGAAGATCAAATCCATATTTTGAGGGAGATGCTTCATCACACTGACATTTCTGATTTTTGGTTTGTGTATCCATTACATTACACATACAAAAAATTAGGTACACAAAAGAAGTAGGAGGCCTGGATATTTATAGTTAGTAAACAAGTTATGCATCAGATCAGTTTACAAGTTTATTTGGAAACTGATGCATATCTTGGTACTAGTTCATAACTTTTCCTTTCTCCTAAATGTCTTTTAGTTTTTCAAGAACCATCTCTTAAGAACTTGTAATGCATTCCTAAGTGTCTTTTAGTTTTCCAAGAGCCATCTTTTTGGATCTTGTAATGCATTCCTAAGTGACTTTTGAGAATTAGGTGATAGATATATATCTTTAAATTAGTGATGTGGCTCGATTAATTGGAGGTCACGTGTAAATACTGTTTTTTTTAAAACCAGCTATTTGAGTCATTAGTTAAGAGTGGCCCAACTGTGCACTTCTGGTCATGATGATGACATATTTGAGCTTTTTCCCTTTATAATCCAAATATCTTATGAATTAAAATCCAATTATTCAGCTTCTCAAACCAAACTCGACACGTTTTGGACTGTTTGTAATTCTTGTTATGTTTAGTATGAATATCATAGCAAGTGTGTGAACAAAAGACTGTCCTGCATCAGGAACAGTGCCTGTGGGCTGGAGAATAGATATGGAAGTCATGGTAGTGGAGTTACTATGTTATGAATCACGATGTAGGAAACTGAGACGATTCTATGACATACTGCTTGTGTACCTGAAGAACTTACGAGTTTTGGTGATCTCCAATAAACTACAGAAAGATTCACACCATCATTGATTTTGAAACTTTACATATTAAGTATCTACTGAACATGAACATGCTGTAATTCAAGTAAACGCGTCTGAAATGCTCAAGTTTGATATCAAACATAGAAATATAACATTAAGAAGATATCACATAATCTAAGAATGAAAAACAAAATGAAATGATCTGATTTTGCTAAAGATTTTCAGGTGGGATATTATTGATCCAATTAAGGCAGCTAACA